ATAATAGTGATATTCATCTGCTCAGGAGAGTTGAGAAAATGCTTTTCCTGAAGAAAGGGCATGGTTGATGCCTTTCTCATCATCTTAGGTCTTGGGGTGTTATGCTTCAATGTCATGAGACCCATTTCCCTTCCCTTGTCATCACCAATTTATTTAGTGATGCTAAGAAAATGCCTCAATTTTCTGAGCTTTAAATTTGTACTTCTAAGGGATGCTTTTACAGATCAGGGCTATGCAATTTTTTCTTTTTACTTTTATTCTAAAGAGCCAGATAGAAATTATTTTTGGCTCTCCAAACCATTCAGTCTCTGTTGCAATTGCTCAACTTTATTGTTTGATTGTAAAAACCACCAGAGCAATTCATCAATGAATGAGCATGACTGTGACTCAATAAAATTTAATTTTCCCAAACATGTGGCAGGATGGATTAGCCTATAGACTATCATTTCTGACCCCTGCTATAGATGATAATCTAGTAAGACTATAACTTGCACTCATTTGTTCATTTACTCATTCGAGTGATACTCACTGAGGGTTACTGTGTATGTCAAACACTATTCAAGGCAAAGGGGAGAGAATAGCAGAGCAGACAGGTGGAGATTGTGATCTTCAGAATTAATTTCTTTACAAAAAAGCAAATAATAAATTATTAAACAAATAACCTGAGATAATCATAGGTGCCCTGAATATATGAAAGCTTGATTTGTGATGGGGAATATCTGGTTCCTGTAGGGAAATGGGCATAGTATTTGAGATTTGAGTCCAAGGAAGTAACTTAGCAGAGAGGCTGTGCTAGGCATGGTGCCTTATAACATATCATCTCTAAGCTTTATTATAACACCGCAAGTTTTATTACTTTACCTTTTTTATAGAAGAGGAAAAGTGTCAGAGACTCTGAGAGGAAAGATAACTTGCCTACAGTTCAAAGCTGCTAATGAGAGAGCTGGGATCCAAACCCAGGTTCACTTGTCCCCAAGGGCTAAGGACTTTCAGTTTCTCCCAGGAACTATAATCTTTGCAAGAAAAAAAAGCCCCATACAATGCCCCTCCTCAATGAACTATAGGAAATCAGGACTGGAAACAGAGACAAACTTTCATTTGTTCACCCATTCATTCAAGCATCATTCATTTACTGACTACCTGCTATGCATAATTGAGGATACAACTGAGGGTATAATGGGGAGTCAGAAAATAAGGTCTCTGTCTAGAAAGGGATGCTGGTAAATATTGAAAACTGACTCTGTGGAGGTGGAAAATGTTCATTTGCCAATTTTTGTGTTGTAAATACTTCACCCACAGCTGATTTCAAGCTGTCCAACTTGTGAACTCGCCTGCAAAATTCCTGAAAATCTGATCACTGGTTTTTGTAAGAAGCTGACCCAGACCCAGCTACCACTGTACTATTGGCCCTTAGTGCCAACAACCTAGTGCGACAGAGACAAATAAACAGACTTTTTAAGTAAAGGGCGAGAAGTACAATAATGGAGGGTAGAGTTAATTTTTTTTTAATTTAGTTATTATTTTTTATTTTTTTATTTTTTTTAATAGAGGCATGTTTTTCTTTATTTATTTGTTTGCTTGTTTGTTTGTTTTGTTTATACATGCACTGGGTACAGTCAGAAGCGCGGGAGGGTGAGAGAATTCACCAGAGCCACAGCTGGGAGCAGAGCAGGCAGAAGACCGAAGTACACTGCTGAGGGGAGCAGCGGGCGGCAGGAGAGGTCTGTGCGCCATGTGGGACCCTCCTCCGGTGGCCAGGGAGCAGCCGGGGATTGAACCGGCGCCGCAGAGGCCGCGGGTGGCTTCACAACCCAGCGCTCTACCGCTGCGCCACCGGGGAGGCCCTTATTATTTTTTTAAATTTATGTATTTATACAAGCACTGGGTACAATCAGAAGTGCGGGAGGGTGAGAGAATTCACCAGAGCCACAGCTGGGAGCAGAGCAGGCAAATGGACCCAAGTACACTGCTGAGGGGAGCAGCGGGCGGCAGGAGGGGTCTGCGCGCCATGTGGGACCCTCCTCTGGTGGCCAGGGAGCAGCCAGGGATCGAACCGGCGCTGCAGAGGCTGCGGGCAGCTTCGCAACCCAGCGCTCAACCACTGCGCCACCAGGGAGGCCCAGAGTTAAAATGTTTTTGACGCTGGGTTAATACAAAGGGTGGGCACTTGATCCAAACATAAAAACACAAAGAAAAAAAGCCAGTGCTCTCATATACTTGACATCAAAGATGTACATGTTTGCAAACGTATTTTGATAGATAGAAATAATTCACTTTGTGTAGAAATATTTGTCATCTGTTGACATACTCCAAATGGTTTTCGGAACAAATAATTTAGATTGTTTTAATTCTCTACTGAACTTGATAAAGGGAATCCCCATTTAACTCAAGGTTTGGGGTTCTAGCCTTGTTCCTGCCTCTAACTGGCCTTGTGGCCATGAGCAAGTGCTCTGTGCAATGGCATCTAGATAACCTAAGGAATGTAAAAGCATCAACACTTCACTATTCAACCTCTCCAGTTATAAGAATTTTTTTTTTTTTTCAGATGAAGGCTTTTTCCATCCCCCTCAGTGAGGATGCTCAAACAATGGGCAGACAAAACAAGATCAAATTCTTTTCAGGTGTCTTGCAGGTCACTCCCATGTTTTCAAACCCCAGAACCACTTAGAGAAGGCCTAATTTAGACTTAAAATTGTAACTGGTCTCTAATAAGTAAAAAAAAAAAAAAAAATGTATAAATCCATAATATTTTAAAACCAAGATAAGACAGGAATACCAAAGCCATACAGACAGACTTTGAAGATATCGTCAGCTCTAAAACAGCTGCCAAACTCAGACAAGTTCTGGGACTCATAGGATTGAGAATATTTCCAGTTACATCTGCAGGCATCTGCTCAATTCTAACACCCACCCTTTTTGTAAACAAGATAGCATGACTGGGACCTGTTCATACATCAGCAAGAAACATGATTTGGGAAACAGTTGTGGCAAGAACGTTGATGACCAACATGTGTAGCGCCATCCTCACACCCTGAAGCTATAATTCCCTTTCTGGTGTTACCCACAAGGAGGACCCATATGCATTTTCCAGTTGTGTCCCTGGATTCCTGATTCCAAGGGGTGAGGCGAAAGTCTGCATTTGATTCCACCAAGATGCTCTTTGCACAATCCCAATTCAGTTTGCCTCTTCTTAAGTGAGCTGTGTGGGCAGGCAGCTCATAGCTGCTCCAACATAAAAAACAACAATTCCAAGTCTTGCCTCACTTCATTTTTAAGTGAGGCTTATATCCCAGGGACTGGAGCTATGATTAATAAAAGGACTACAGCTGCAACCTGAAAATCTATTTTTATGGTTGTTCCAAACATATGTGTTGCATTCATTTGGAATTCATTCTTCTGATTTTAGTTCAAAAGCAGCACCTAGTGGTCTTCAGGACATATGGATCGTGAGCTGTGAAGAAGTCCTCATATACATTTACAATGTATATATCAAACATATCAATGAACTCAGTTCTCATTTCAGACTGTTTTCCTTAATGTGGTTAACCATATAATGGCCAATCCATACTTCACTGTGGCCTTTGTAAACCAAACCTCATTCCATGTCAAAAAACCACCCAGTTTCTTGGTCTATGTGACCCACGATAATTTTCCACAAGAATATCAATAATTGTACATTTAACCAGATTGACTGGTAGGCAGCAGAGATCACAAATATTGTCAGAGAGGCCAAAGGGAATGCTAGAGACTGTGGCAGAGTGGAACACTCAAGTCTTTGTATAGAAGACAGCTTCTATTTTGTTCTACAGGATTGTTGCCATGTGGTAATATAAACCCAGTGCCATAAGATCTAATTGATTGATTTTTGAAAGGGAGCCTGAAATCTGGATTTTTATGCAAATTCCTCAAATTTTTAATGGTACATATTAATTTTTTGCTTAAATCCATGGGACAAACACTTCCGTAAGTTTGAACCTGGTATATAGACCACAATTATGTCACCTCTGGAATTGATGGCACTAAGTCCTTTCTATGACAACCTATAATTTTAAAGATTTTCCAATGTCTTAAAAATATTCTTAAATTTAATATGCCACCATTTCCATGCACACTTCTTTTGAAATATTCAATTATGCATATGTCATAAATGCATAAGTGCACAGGTTCAAAACTGAACATGAATGTGTAATTAGCACTTGGTTTGGGGAAAAGAAGATTATCTGCCCTCCAGAAGTCCCCTTTCAGTTAATACCCACCCTCACCAGAGTGACCAGTATTTTACACACTTTTCTTGCACACACTTTTCTTTCTCTTTTTCCTAAATAAAGTCAAATTAAGGAGCCAAAGGAAAACTGCATGAATTAGTTACGAGAATGCAAATTGTGGATTGCTAAAAAGCAAAGTATGCACATAATCTCCATGTGAGGAAACTTGGTCTGATATTTCAGACAATTTATCAGCAGAGTTTAATATAACAACCTTGGCCAAGTTTTCCATTTACTTTGTTCATACAAACAAAGTGAAAGGAAAGGCTTTGAATTCACAGTCTTTGTGTTACCTAATCCAGGTCATTTGAGCCAAATGCTTGCCTAACTACATGTGTAGATAAAAGTCAAAGTTTCCTATTCTCTTGGAATTGAGTACCAAGATGCTATCACAATTTTTTTTCTTTCATGAAATACAGGACTTTACTTCAATGCATGTGTTTATATTACTGGGTTTATGACAGTCCATCAACAAGCCCTGCTGTGCCTTGGCTCCAGAATGTGTTTCTTTTTTCTTCCTTGACAGTCACCCTGCAGTTTAACTTTTTTGGTTCGCCACATCCTTTGTTTTGAAAGCAACCTGAATCTGGCATCTTTTTTTTTTTTTCTTTTTTAGTGGGAAATAAATAATCTATGAAATATATCATGGCACATTTGGCACAAAATGCTAAATTGTGGGGTGTGTATCAAAACATACACCAGGAATCATGCAAGCTGTCCTGGTGAACGTCTTACCATCCATGGTGATTACTCCCTGATTGATTCAGCTGCCGCACACCTGTTCAGGCTCCCCTCTACAATTTTGAGCTGCTCCTCCTCTCTCAGGCTGCGGAACAGAGAAGGAAACACATTAGACTCCCAACCCTGGACCCACATCTGTATGGATCTCTGTGTAACTGCCCTGATTTGGGTGACTGTTTCCCAAAATGCCCACTCCATTAATAATGTAAGCAACATTGAGATACATTTTCACCTATCAAATGTGAAGTTTGTTATTGTAATTTGTATTACTTTAATAATAAAACCAAGCATAAGGGAAGTGAAATAAATTCTCAAGTGGTGTTGGTGGCAGTGTAAAAAACACAAACATTCTGAAAGGTAACACATTTAATCTAGAAGGTAGGATATGGGTCTCCATGGCTTTTTCTTCTAACATGACAAAAGGAACATTGCAAGGTAATTAAAACTCCTAATCAGTTGGTTTACATTGGGAAAGTATACCATCATGTGGGCCCAATTTAATTACGGGAATTCTTGAAATCCAACGACAAGGCAGGGAGTTTCACCAGTGTGAGAAGATTCAACACAATTGCTAGTTTTGAGATACAACAGGCTCTTTGCAAGGACTGCAAAGAGAACTCAGTTGCTAAGGGAGGCCCTGGCTGACAGCCAGCAAGAAGCAAGGATAAAGTCCTGCAGCTGCATGGAATTGAACTCTGTTAACACACCAGGGAGCTAGAAATAGCTTCTCCCTTAGAGTTTCCAGAAGGAAACCAACCTTACTAATAACTTAATTCTGGCTTTTTGAGACTCAAAGCAGAGAAGTCAGGCAAGTCCATTGGACTACAGAACTGTGAAATAATAAATGAGTGTTGTTTTAAGACATTACAGCCATCTTGAATTTTTGTGGTGATGTGTCAGCCAAGGTTCTCCAGAGAGACAGAAGCAATAGCCTAGACAGATAAAGACATAGATACAGCAATGGAGAAAAGGATAAAAGTATATTTATTATGGGAATTGATTCACATAGGTATGCAGGCAGAGAATTCCTGCAATCTGCAATCTGCGAGCTATGGAGCCTGGATAGTCCTGGGAAAGTCATTTGTATAATAAAATTAAGTCTGAGAAGCTCTGATGTCTTGGGCAGGGAGAAATAGATGTCCAGCTCCAAAAGAAACAGAGAATATCTTTCTTCATCTTGTTGTTCCATTCCATTCTGGCAAGGGATCAGATGACACCACCCACACTGGTGAGGTTGCATCTCTTTAATCAGTCATCCTCACCTGGGCATCTCTTAGCCCAGTCAAGCTGGCACATAATATAAACCATCATAAGCAGCAACAGAAACTATCACAAAATCCCTCAAGATAAGTCCACCCCCTTTGGGTCAATATTATAAATCAAAGATTGTGTGAAAGTATTTATTCTAGTGACTACAAATTGGAAACAACCTAATCCAATTTAACTGTCCAATATTAGAGCATTGGTTAAGTAAGCTGTTGTAGAGCAATACAATGGAGTACTATGCAGTCACTAAGATTTGTTTTTCGGTGAAAGCTCAGTGTTCTGAAGATACTCACAGAATATTAGAGTGAAAACAGAAACTCAAAGCTCTATATAAAATATGACCCGGTTACATATGTGTGCTTTTTTCTTCTATAAGGGTGGATGTGTTAAATATACATAACAGAATGTTAATAAGATGTTCTTCCTGAAGTTTGGAGCCCCAAAGGTCAACAATAAAGCCCTAGGTATTAAGTGTTCCACATTACATGGTCAAGTCTATACAGAATTTGTAAAGGAGATCACTAAAAATCAGTTACTCACTTCCTCTAGGGTATAAAAGAAGTGAAGTTGAAAAGACCCAGGGAACACTCTGCTCTGGGTCTCTTATCTTAGGCCCTCATCTTACAACAAATGAAGCAGGGACTTCAAGGAGGCCACACAGAAAAATTGCTACTTTCTATGGAGTTTGGAGATTGCATGGTTTGGGTGTGACACATTTTTAAATAATTTATTTCTTCATTCCTTCATCAATCAACAATTACTGAGCCAACCTATATATACTATGATAGTCTAATCCTCTTGGTTTTTGTTAAACCTTAAAGTAATTTAATGAAATAAAATAAAATAAAATAGTGCACATTCATTATTTACTTTCTCCAAATCCATCACTGCTTTTTCTGGCTAAGTCCACTAATTTGAGTTTGGGATTTCCCCTTCCCCTATCTTAGGATGTTAAGTGCTTCTTCTTTAACTCAAGTATGGAATAAAGGACTTAAGCTAATCCATACCTCTTTCCACTACCATGGTGACTGATTCAGCAATGAGCACATGAAACTACCAGACCCATGAGATGCAATGAAATTTTGACTGGGAACACTTGGAAAGAGACAGTTTCTCTCTCTTTTGTTTTTTTTTTTTTAGATTTTTATTTTTTATTTATGCAAGAACCAGGGTACAGGCCAGATGCACGAGAGGGTGAGATTCACCAGAGCGAGACCAGGAAACAGAACAGGCAGACTGACTGAAATACAATGCTGAGGGGAGCAACGGGCGAGACAGGAGAGGTCTGCTGGGCCATGTGGGACCCTCCCCGGAGGGCCAGGATGGAACCCGCACTGCAGAGGCTGCGGACAGCTTCACAGCGCAGAGCTCAACTGCCTGCGCCATTAGGGGAGGCCCAGTTTCTCTTTTCAAAAACAAGAACTTGAGAATAAAGAACCTGGAGCAGTTGAAACCATTTTGTTATCATGAGGAACCTGGGAATTGAGTCACTACCATGAAAAAGTCTAGTGACATTGCTTGAACACATGATGAACCCATAACTGAAGCAAGCTTTTCTCTTGTATTATATCTATGAGTTAGTGGGACATCATTTGAAGTAGATAAATGTCCTCATATTGATAGAATCCTATATTATTTCCCTTATTTTTTGAACTCTAACTTGTTGAAAACTTGAACTTAAATTCTTTTAGAACAGATTTCAAGACTCAAATAAGGAATATAATGTGATAATCCAATAAATCTAAACCCTATATACTTTTGGCCTCAAATGTGATTTTAAAAAGTTTTTGTCTTCAAATATGCCTAAATAAGAATTTTAAATCAAAATACCCTTAGAACAGGGAAAGTATAACAAGACAATTAGGAATGATGAGCGTGGTTTCCATTCTTTAATTAGACCTCTTGTTACTTTTCAGTTATGCAGCCAATCTGTGAATTGAGGGTCTAGAGAGGAAATGCTCAAATGTAACAAAAGAGAGAAAAGTCAGCAATTATTCTGATACCTAAACATCAGTCAGATGTTTCTGATCCCATGAAGGAATTCTGATTTTAGCTGCCAATTTCCTTTTGTGAATTGTCTTCAGAATCTATGCCTTCTATAGCACACATCTTGTCATGCACTTAATGTTTGAAATGAGGAAAGATTTCCCAAAGGACCCTTGGCCGCCTGCTGCTCTCCTGCAGGAAATTCCCTAAGAGTTAGGATGACAGTGTGTTAAACAGTCATCACTCATCTACATGACAGTTTAGTATCTCACCACATCTGAGAATAAAAGAATAAGTGTGTCCAATTTTCACAGGCTAACCTTGGAGTTACATTACTTGATGCCAAAACATCCAGATTAAGATGAAATACTACCCATATATTCTCAAGTATCCACATGTTTGACATCTTATAAGCATAGCCTGAGATGACTCTAATTGGATAATAAAAGAATTCCTATCCTTTATGGTCATCAATTATTTATTATTATCTACTTATATGCCAGCTGCATAGGATGGATTGATACATACTATTATTCCTGACCCTCTTGGAGTTTATCTAGTTTAATTAGTGACATACAAGTTACAGCAACTAGAAGAAACTATGATGAATGATGTATCAAATTAGGATACTTTCATTGCATGGAAGTACTTAAAGCAGGACTTCTACTAGCTAATTCTGTGCTATGTGAAAATTAGAAAAAGATTCCTCATTCTCTAACCAAACACAATTTACATCGAAACACACAATATGGTGAGCAAAGAGCTGCAGGACACCTTGCACAGGGCAAAACTTGCACAACTGTACATGGACTCATGTAGCATAACTAATATTTTATAGAATGAGAATGCCAGGGGTAGGAAATTCTAGACGTGGCTCTAATTCTGAGGCATAAAAGCATTGTCAAGGACCAAGTGTTTTCCATATTTCTGTTCTCATCCTTAACATGTCTCTTATTTTCAGGCTCATCCCCTCATGGTTACAAAAGACCTGCTGCAACTCTAAGCATCACTTCATTTTTTTTTTTTTAATTTAAATTTTATTTTTATATTCCCCATACAATTACAACCCCCTTATTTTGACCCCAAGCCCTCCTTTCCCCACCCCCCACTCCCCATAGTTATTTGTTGATTTTGATATTTTCTTTCTTATAGTTATTCTTTTTTGTGGTCCCTTATTTAAGTTTTCTAGATTCCTGCTATGAGTGAGACCATCCGGTATTTTTCTTTTTCTTTCTGGCTTATTTCGATGAGCAGGATCCCTTCCAGCGCCATCCATGTTGCTGCAAATTGCATGTGTTTACCTTTTTTGAATGCTGAGTCATATTCCATGGTGTATATGTACCACATCTTCTTGATCCAGTCATCTAATTTTGGGCATTTGGGCTGTTTCCAAAGCTTAGCTATTGTAAATAGTGCTGCTATAAAATAGGGGTGCAGGTGCTCTTTGGAATTGATGTTTCTGTGTCCTTTGGGTAAATACCTAGGAGTGGAATTGCTGGATCAAATGGAAGCTCTATGTTTAGTGGGTCAAGAAATCTCCACACAGCTCTCCATAGTGGTTGGACCAGTTTGCACTCCCACCAACAGTGCAGGAGAGTTCCTTTTACTCCACAATCTCGCCAACATTTGTTGTTACTAGTTTTTTTTAATATGTGCCATTCTCACTGGTGTAAGACAGTATCTCATGGTAGTTTTGAATTGCATTTCCCTGATTACAAGTGATGTTGAACATTTTTTCATATGCCTGTTGGCCATTTGCATTTCCTCTTCAGAGAAATTTCTTTTTAATCTTCTGCCCATTTTTTGACTGGATTATTTTCTTTGTTTTTGTTGAGTCTCATCAGCTCTTTGTAGATTTTTGTGATCAGTTCTTTATCATTAGCATTGTGTGCAAAAATGTTCTCCCAGTTGGTGGGGTTTCTCTTTGTTTTTGTTACAGTCTCTTTTGCTGTACAGAAGCTCTTTAATTTGATGAAGTTCAGCCGTTGATCTTTGCCTTCACTATCACTGCTTTGGGTGATGTGTCTGTAAAGATGTCTTTGATGTGCATATAATGGAGTGTTTCGCCTATATTTCCTTCTATGTATTTTATGGTTTCAGGTCTTATGTTTAGTTCTTTAATCCATTTTGAGTTGGTTTTTGTGTATGGTGTGAGGTAGTAGTCAAGCTTCATTCTTTTGCATGTAGCGACCCAGTTTTCCCAGCACCATTTATTGAACAAACTTTCTTTGCTCCAATGCATATTCTTTGCTCCTTTGTCAAAGATTAGTTGACCATAAATCTGTGGGTTTATTTCTGGATTTTCTACTTGATTCCATTGGTCTGTGTGTCTGTTCTTGTTCCAATACCATGCAGTTTTGATGATTATGGCTTTGTAGTACAGTTTGAAGTCTGAGAGTGTGATGCCTCCATTCCCTTTTTTTTTTTCAGGACAGCTTTGGCTTTTCGGGGTTTTTTGTGGTTCCATATGAATTTCATCAATAATTGTTCTATTTCTTTGAAGATTGACATTGAAATTTTTATTGGGATAGCATTGAATCTGTATATTGCTTTTGGTAGGATGGCCATTTTAATAATGTTTATTCTTCCAATCCATGAGTAGGGGATGTCTTTCCATTTCTTTGTATCTTCTTCTATTTCTTTAAACAGTGTTTTATAGTTTTCTTTGTATAGGTCCTTTACCTCTTTTGTTAGATTTATTCCCAAGTATTTGATTTTTTTTTGTTTCGATAGTAAAAGGGATTTTTTTTTTTATTTCTTCTTCTTCAGATTTATTGCTTGTGTATAGGAAGGCTACTGATTTTTGCGTGTTGAGATTGTATCCTGCCACTTTACTGAACTGATTGATTAGTTGAATTAGTTTTTCTACGGAGTTTTGGGGGTTCTCTATGTATATTATCATATCATCTGCAAATAGTGATAGTTTGACTTCTTCTTTTCCTATTTGGATTCCTTGTATGTCCTTCTCTTGTCTTATTGCTCTGGCTAGGACTTCCAGTATTATATTGAAAAGCAGTGGTGAGAGTGGACGTCCTTGTCTTGTTCCAGATCTTAATGGGAATGCTTTCAGCTTTTCGCCATTGAGAATGATACTGGCTGTTGGCTTGTCATATATGGCCTTTATGATGTCTAAGCATCACTTCTTCACACTACTCTATCCAAAGCCAGGGAGTGGATCTGTTTTAATCTAGGTGGAAAAACCTTTTCCAATAACCTTTCAGAGACTTCCCCTTATTTCTCATTAGGCACAAATGGGTTATGTGCTTATTCCTAAGTCAACATCTTTAATAACAGGAGATGAGTTTCCAAGTATGGTTGGAGCCAATCAAAATTCTCTCCCTGGGGTTATGGCAGGTACCAAACTCTCCTGGCTCACAGCACCACCCAGAACTTTAACAGAAGTGAGGTTCACTTAAGAGAAAGAAGGATGGAATTGTCTGTGGGTTGACAATAAATAGCACTACCACAAAGTCAATGAGAGAGATATTCAAAATGCTACAAGAGCAGAAAAAAAAAGACACATCTCCTAACTTATTTTGGAATTCGCACTTGATAGATGAGAATTATTTCGCAGCTGAAAAAGTGATGAGAACAAGTTACAAAACAAAACAAAAATATTAACATGAAGGTTCTGACGCCTTCTTATGATGAGAGAAATGTTCTGTACACTTATACATGAATCCATGTATCCACATTATTAACAAACAGGACGAAAGCTAAAAGAGAATTTTCTTTTCATTTTTTTCCTAATTAATACATATTTTTATTTAAACACACACATCTAAGCCATATTTATATCCGAAGTACAAAAATAGAACTAACTTAATAAAAATAAAATTATTGGGCCTCCCTGGTGGCGCAAAGGGTTAAGCACCTCACTATGAAGCAATCCACAGCCTCTGCAGAACAAGTTTGATCCTGGGCCAGCCAGGCAGCAACCCACAGGGCGCAGCATACCTCTCCTGTCTCACTCGCTGCTCCCCTCAGCAGTGTATTTCAGTCAGTCTGCCTGTTCTGTTTCCCCTCTGTCTCTGGTGAATCCTCTCATCCCCCCAAGCCCCCGCATCTCTGGCCTGTACCCCAGCTCTCGTATGCATAAATAAATAAATCTTTAAAGAAAAAAATTTTTAAAATAAAAATAAATAAAAATAAAATTACTGGTTCTCAACTATAAAGTTGAGACCTAGATGCTGTGCCCCTCACTAGTAATAGCCTCTCCACGCTGACTGCCTCCAGCTACACAGCAGAGACAGCGTGATTCTCAGTCTAAGTCTTGTCATTTTGACAACCTCAAGAGAAGATGAATGCTTCTGTCCTTTATTATATGCACATTAATACGTAGGTCCTGTGGGGTGGCTGCTCGCTCCTCAACCAACGTAGCTGCCAGTAAAGCAGCGTTAACTCAAACAGCGCCTAGCAGGGGGGCAGCTCACTGTGGGTTCTCCGCACACACTCACAATTGCAAGACACCAGAGGTTCAGGGCGCACGACAAGGGGCTTTATTAACAAACGGGAGGCTGAGGGAAAGGAGAGGGTCTCACCTCAACAGTGTCCTCCGCATCCAGCCGTCCTAAACAAAGGCCGCGGGTGCAAGATGGCGCAGGCCCTTCACGAGCGCCTGGAGCGGGCAGCCGCGGACAAGCAGCAGGCCGAGGTGGCACCACAGCAGCCAGCACCACCTGTCCAAAGGCCGGGCTGCTGGCGCCAGAGGCCACAGCACCAGGTGTGAGGAGCGGAGGAGCCGAGCAGCTCCCACAGGCGGCGGGATGCGGTCAGCGGCGCCCACGGGGCGGGTACGAGCACTCGCCTTACAGCTCTTTGAGAGCAAGCAGAGCCCTTTACGCCGCCTGGCACCTGCCAGTGGGCACAGAGGACGGTGCCCGTCAGCAGGCAGGTGCCACAGCCAGAGGCAGGGGCGGAGGCAGGAGCAGGGCTAGGCTGCAGTTTGAAGCAGAGCTCAGATGCGGAGGGCTCAGAGGCCTAGCAAGGTCCTCAAAGTTCTTTTTTTTTTTTTTTAATTAATTTATTTTTTTAACTGAGGTAACATTGGGTAGTCACATCAGGTGCTCCCACCACAGTGTGTCCCCCACCAACTCGCCATACTCCACCAGCCCAGGAAGTTCCTGTTCTCTCCAGGGGGCGCAGCGAAGTCTCCCCACAGCTCTGTGAAGGTCTCTCAGGAGGAAGCCCCGCCGAGTCTGAGGGCTAATTCCTGAATGAGCCTAGGCCGCTGGATCCCTGGCTTATATTGCTGCCTCTCAAGCCTGATTGGTCCAGCTGTCTGACTGGCGCGGGTCAAGGTCCAATCAGATTGGTCCAGTTTCGAATTCATTACCATATTCAAAAGAAAACACCAGCTGCCTGCTCAGACCAGGCCTGCGCTGAGGTTGTCAGACTGGTGGGTTGTGCCCTTCTAGAAGACAAAGCCAGGCTGAGGCTCCAGGGAGCGGCCCTGGAGCAGGGCGGCCTTGCTGGAGTTTTGGGCTGTCCCGGGCTGCATACACTACTGTTATAGGGCAAACCCTGATATAAAATGGGGTTGCCTGACTGTAGGTCCTCACCCACACGCTTAAAAGGGACTTATTAATGCTAAGCTGCAGACACACGTAAGGTTGATAAAAGTTTTATTTACAAGGGCAGGGGAACTGGGGAAATGAATAACTCAGGGAGAAAAAGAGGGAAATAAGTTTGTAAATGCCTCCTACCCATTCCGCTGACCTGGAATCCCAATGACCTGCCGAGCTGCCAAAAATCTAGCAAGCCCTCATGGCCAAAAAGGGGCAACCCCTGGCCACATGGCCAGTTAAATATCCAAACCCCCAAACTAGGTGTTTAACACCACCCTCTGGTCCTCACAATCTTCCCTTTGGTGATCATGGGATTTGTAGTTTCCAGTGTCGTGGGGGTGGAGTCCACAAAGCCTGTACGGAGTTTGCTCAGGACATCCTTTCCCCCTACCAGCCTTTATGTCCTTCATGCCCTGTGGGAGCCACAGCCATGTGGCTCCTTTCACCTGGAAGCTCGTATTGGCTATCCAGGCCACTTCTTCTCTATGGCTACCATGACTGGTCACACCATTCCTCCTTAAGACATCCCCAAGAAACAAATACAGAAGGTCACATATTATATGAGTTCTGTAGTACCAGGATGGGCACTGAGAAGGTTATCTATGATCTAAGCAGAGTGTATGGGTAAAGGAGAGTCCTGGAGCCCTGAATGGTTTTCTCAGGCTTTTATGGAGCTTTCATGTAGTGTGGCAACAAGGTACAGGGCAGCCAGGGTGCCAAGAGGCCGGCAGGCCTCCAAGCCCCCAGCAAGTCCTCACTCTGGTCTTCTCTGGCTTCTTTCTTCCCTTCTCTCTCCTGCCTCTTCTTCTGCCTCTTCTCTTGCTTCTGCTTCTGTTGGTGACCCATGGCCCACAGAAGTAAACAAGACAGCTTGCAACAACATAACAACTGCAGGTGCCCCATCAGGCAGGGCAATCCTAAGGGTGAGAGGGCAGAAAAGCCTGAAAATCATTTACCTTACAAGTTCCTTCAAGTGAAATATTCAGAATGGGTAAGATCAGAGAGATACAAAGTAATTGATGCCAGACCTATATTGGGTATAGGGAGTCAAAAAAAGGCAGGATCGCTAACGAATAAGAAGTTAATTTTAGGTGGTGAAAATTTTGCATTTAGACTATGGTGGGGGAGGTGCAGCTCTGTGAATATACTAAAAACCACTAGGCTGAACACTTTAAATAGGTAAATTGAATGGCATGAACATCATCTCAGTAAAAGATTAGCTCAGAGAGAGAGAGAGAGAGAGAGAGAGAGAGAGAGAGAGAGAGAGGTGTGTGTGTGTGTGTGTGTGTGTAGTAACATCACCACCTAGAGATAATCATGTTAATGGTTTGTGAATACCAAGCAGATTCCTCTCTAGGCAAGGTATACTAAACAAGTATTTTAATGTTAGTCTGTTTCCTATCATATATATACAAAATAATTCATTTAACTATTCTTTCTTTAAAGGGGAGGGCTTTTCAAAGAGCATTCACTCTGTGTGTGCTTTTGTGTTTGTGAGTTAGGATGAAGGTCTGACTCATGCCTAAGACTTTATAAGACTCATTATAGGAATAAAAATAAAAACACTAGCTCTAATCTGCTTATTTTTAAACGTACTGTTGTAACAATTTCATGTTGCCTTCTAAGTAGGACTTTTTTTCTTCCTTCATGCTATATTTAGAGCATTAGTTACCATAACAACAAGATGTAATTCATCATATGAAAATCCAAACCACATTCTCTATCGGGAATCATTACATTATGTTACAAATATGAAAAGCATTTCTATAGGTCATTAGGTCCAGTCTTCTGTATCCAAGATAGACTGCCCTCAAACCTCCAAATAGATGGGCTTATCTTAGGAAAATAAAATAAAAAAACAAAGATTGAGGAATCAAAACACTACTATCTTACTTCAAAAATTTGGTTCAAGATTCTACAACCAGTGTGAAAATGCTCCAACTCATAGATTTTCTGAACACCACTGTCATACAGAACGCGCTCATTGATTTTTCTCTGGGTATACCTAAAAAGTGACCCACATTTCCTTTCTTCACTGAGGTTCTTATCAGTCATGACTGTGATTCCTTAATTCAAAGCCATACTGCAATGAGCCTCTTGCTCACAAAATGTTTTCCCACAATGTTTCTTCCTCTCCCCACAGCCTTATAATAACATTACTAATATTTAACCTTTGTCTCAGTCATCTCTTAGAGGTTCCAATAAAAGTCAGGACCCGGTTTCCAGAGAAGAGCATAATACATAAAATTTTGTGCAAACCTCAGGGATTTAAAGGGTCTTCTGAAGCTCATCCAATTCCTTTAAGGTTAAGATTCTTGGATTATAAATGAATTTATTTTTTGCTTCCATTTGATTCATTCATTCATTCACTCACTATTCAAACACTTACAAAGCTCATGACATGCCAAACATTCCCTAACTCCTTTGTAATTGTGTAAATTTCTCCATAGCCAGGTGATTTTGTGAGGACCCACAGGCTCTGAAAGGGTTAGTGTCACTCTCTATATCCCTCCACAGGGAAATCCCGTGCAGTGGAAGAAATTTCCTTGCTCCACAAAAAGGTGAATTACCTTGTTTGATGTACCTCTATAACATTATGTTCTATGCAGTTCTGTGAAGGCCTTTTTCCTAGCAACACAAAGTTTTGGAGAAAACACAAGATTCCAAATCAGGAAGTTTGAATTTGGCCAGAGCAATGCCACTTTCAGTCATGGTCACCTGGGCAAGTCACTCAACCTCTTAGTTTCCCCCTTGGTGAGAGGGAGTTAATAAAGATGGCCTCACATGGCTTCTTTCTGAAGTATGAGTAAAAAAGTAACAAAACAATAAAATGTGTGTAAGAACATTTTGTAAACCACAAAAAAAAAAAAAGATTATTGGCATTATTGTTATTGTTGCTATGCTGTTGTTGAAAATCAGATTCATGTCTTCAGTTTTGGCTCTAAAGGGTGACAAGTCAGGGAGAGTTTCAGTTTTCTCCTGTATTTTGAATTCAAAGTTATTAGAACAGAGCAGGTAGCACATTTCCAAATCTATGAGACAGGTCGTGAGGCAATTACCAGCCTCTAATTTGCAGTTTGATTGTACTAAATTAGAGTGAGTTGCATGCACACACAAACATTTGCTCCTCGAAAATGCACATCACTTCTAGGCACTTGAGAAAATGAAAGCACATTTTAATTGCTTTTCTTGAGAGTATCTTGGAAAGATCTTTGCTAATGGTATTAGGATTCTTTGGGTAGCAAGTAACAGAAACCCACTCCACTGCCTGAACTTCCAGATGAGGAATTTATTTTCAAGCTACCGCAGCACCTTGTGGATCCCAGGTGAAGGACTGAATTACTTAGCAAGGGCAGAAGCAGGGGTGGCAGTGATAGGGGGAAAGGATGTCCTGAGCAAACTCCATACAGGCTTTGTGGACTCCACCCCCACCACACTCGGAACTACAAATCCCATGATCACCAAAGTGAGACATAAGGTAAGTTAGGGTAATTAGGCAGTTTTAGGGACATTGCAGGAGGGGACCTCTGAAGAATTTAGGAAGGCTTCAGAGATAAGGGCAACAAGAGGAATGTAACTATTTCCACTGGGAATAATAAACATCCCAGGACCAAGGACAACATTGTGAACGCTGGCCTTGGTTTCCCTCAGGTGGTAAAGGGAGGTAGAGTTTGGGGAAACGGAGAGTGGTTTAATTTATGGACAAATTAGGAGGGCAGCAGACTCATGTCTGGTAGCTCACCATCCTCCCCTTTGTCAGAGTGCAGGGAAATTTATGCAAGGGGGAGATGAGAAGGAGTATGCACCAGTGGGCGCCAGCCTGCTTTTCTTCAATAGCTGATGTGTAAATTTCTCTTTCCTAAAATGCAGGGGTACTCATCTGGGAGACTGGGCCATAAAGATAAATCTATCAAGCAAGGGGGAAGGTGCAACAAATGGGGAAAGACAAACCTGTTAGATAAGGAATGTGAAGATCCCCCGCTCAGTAGCAGATTAAGTGAGCCAGCTGAAAACTAACCAATCACAAAGAGACTG